ATTAATTATAATATTCGATACAATTTATACTTTTAAAATAAAAGAATCTTTTTGGCGAACTGCACCAAATAAGTCGTTTGATTTTTTGTATAAAGAACAAGTCAACCAATGGAAAATCCGTGTTTATACTTTTATTGATGCTCTACGGTTCATGAATTTGAAGGGCTGTAATTGAAGTAGTTATGCGGTGTTCGCATTCCACGTGCGTGGGCGTAATGGTCAATTATTGTCTTTTGGGGCAGACCATGATTTGTATCTTATGTCTTGAATTTAATACTTTTTTTACATACTAACATATTAAAACACTAACACCTCTAATCATTATTCTTTTAAAAAAGAAAAAAAAGAAAAAAAAAAAGTTATGTGGTGTTCATACCAAAGGAGTTAATATCGTATCCTACTGGCCAGTACAACCGGTATGTATCGGTTTTGAAGGTTAACCAAAACGGAACAAGTTAAGATTTTGTTTCGATCAAATTTCGGGTGTGCCGATCAAATTTCGGTGTACCAGCTGAAATTTCGGGTACTGACCGGTACATCAAAATTTGACCGGTACATTATGCAAGAAGGGAAAAAAAAAAAAAAAAGAATCCCCAGCCAAAACAACGTTGTTTTGGCTGGGGGGTGGCGGCAGGATACCCAGGCGGTATCCCGATCAAGCCTGTTGTCGCCTCAAAACCAGCAGGGGAGCCGCGGTGGGTGTCAGATCTGGCAGCCCTCGCGCACGCCACCACAGATCCGTCGGAGGAGAAAGAAGGCCGCCGGATCTGCACCAAACAGAGCAAAAAACAACAAACAAACAAAGCAAACCAACATATAAACAAACAAACCAAAAAAACCCATACAAAACAAAAAACAAAGCCAGATCTGCAAGAGGATGGTGAAGATCCGAGGTGAAAGAACGGAGGTGATGGTGGCGATGGTGGATCTGTAGAAGGGAGAAAAATCAGGTTTTTTTTTTTCTGTTTTCTCTTTTTTTTTTTTTTTTTTTTTTTTGGGTTTGGCTGCTTTGGCAGCGGCACCGTACCTCCTCCTTTTCCCTTTAATAGAGAAAAAGAGAGGAAACTAGGTTTTGTTAAATTTGGGTTTGATGGGCTGCTCAATATTGGGCTGGACTTATGAGTTTGTTTTAGTAAATTTTATCCTTAGCTTTTTAATTTTTTCAATTGAGTCCCTTTCTCGTTTTTTTTCTTCAACTTCTCCCCCAAATTTTTCATAAAATTTTTTATAACGATAAATTCGAAACGGTACGTGAAAAATTCTGATATCCGGTACGTACTGTTCCAGTAACAAAACCGATACATATGCCGGTACGATATTGACTACTTTGGTCCATACGCTCGAGTACCTTCCAAAGACAATAAAGTTCAGTTTAATTTCTTGACGTGATGGCTACCAAACTTTTTTCCCACTGAAAGCGACCCAATCTTTAGGCAGCTGATAGTCAGGACTTGTTGAATTAGAGGGCGACTTTACCAAATAAAATTTATCAAAAAAATAATTAGATAAGTATCTTTTGAAAAATTAGAAGACATTGTATAAAAAATTATTGAATTTTATAATAAAATTTTATTAAATTATTGAATTTTATTATGTTTAATAAAAAATTAATATAAAAATTATTAAGTAAATTTAATATAAAAATAATTATAAAAAAAATTTTCTTTAAAAAATTATAAAAAAATTTTATAAATTAAAAATTATATTAAAAAATAAAAATTTTAAACATTGTTTTTATTTTTATTTTATTATAATATTAATATATAAAAATATATAAATAATTTTGTAAAAACAAAAATTTAAATAACTTTTGGGAAAAGTTTAGTCAACCAAACACGCTGCCACTGTTTTCCTTTGGCGGCGGCAGCCTGCTGCCTACCATAGTTGACCCTGTTCTCTCTCGCCATCAAAATAGAGCGTTGACTTTGGCTTGACTAACCAACAATGTTCAACGTATTTCAATCATTAAAAATTTAAATTAAAAATTTAAAATAAATAAATGATGAATTAAAAAAAATAAATGATTAGTCTCTATTTTATAAACTTATTATTTTATTTATAAAAAAAAACTTATAAATGTCATTGCAAATTTAACCAATGTGCTTCACTAGAAAATGATAATATCAGCTAGTTGGGCAAACGAATCAAAAGGCAAGGCTTATGCGGCATACAGATAAAAGAAAACACAAGTCTTTCAGATTTCCTGCCATACGTTCCCCACAAGCACAGGTTAGTAATTGAGTTTCCTGAGAATTTGTGCTTTTCTTTTTGAGTTATTAACTAGAAAATTAGTAGAATTGTTTAATGCCTTATACTATTTAATTTCCCAAGAGTTTACCTTAATTTTACTGTAAATCAACACCCCTTTTGCTGGGAATCATCACCAACATTTTAGGGGATACCATGGAAATTTGTTCCCCTAGACCTTAATTAGTTGCTAAACAATCTTGTTTCTCTCTGACATACCAAAAATGAAAAACCAATCTTTGTTGAATGCAGCAATTTTAGACGTTCCAAAGGACAGTCCATTAAAGATTCCAACTCTAAGAAGACAGATAGACGCTTCTATTCCTTTGGAAATAAGAAACTTGACCTTCTATTCCATTTCTCAGGTGGGACTTCCCTCATTTTACATTATCAGATTTTCATTGTAAGTTTAATGACAGCATTGTTTCATGGACTACTTTAGCATTTATTGAGTTTAGAAACCTTTTTCTTTGTTTTTTTATTGCTTTTCACCCAATTAGTTTTTGGTGTTTTCCCAACTCTCAATCTATAGAACACAAATACTAGATGAGTAGTTCCTGTACAGTACAATACTTAAATATAATAATCTTCGTATGAAACCCACAAAACCACAGAAAAAAGGGATTTTGGCATCCCATTGTGGTAGATTAGAGAAGCGATAATAGTTCTCTCAAAAAAAAAAAGAAAAAGAAAAAAGAAAAAGAAAAACAGAAAAAGGAGAAGCAATATTATTAACCTGGAAATCAAGTGTAGGACTTCCCTGATTTCACATTATTGGCCTCCTTGATAAATTTAATGTCGGTTTTGCTTTCATGGTTCACCTTAGTATGTCTAGGGTTTTGGAAAGGTTTCTATTTTAACCTACCGCTGACTGAAGTTGATTTAAAACTTTTGTTCAGTTAGTTTGTTTATACCATTGTTTGTGCATATACAATCCACTTCCAGAACCGCCCTACCCAAACAGGGG